GTTGTAAATTTTTGACCCGGTTGAACCGTTTTGACACGGGTGACCCGGTTTACTATAACCCGGTTCTAAACTCTAATCGTCAGTATCTCTGTCCAATTCTTCAATTTTTATCTTGAAGTCTCGTGATGTAGTTGTTGTGATATAATGCATCAAATCGGTCTTTGTATATTTTAGAAATGGTTAAACTCATTTTTCAATCATTATATACGTCATATAATTTTACCTTTGATTTCTTTGACAACTGCATAATATAACGTTCGAATTGTTCCAAAATAAAAATCAATACTGGTATTATTTTGGATTCCTTAGTAATTCTAGCCTATGGTATCACAGTGGAAATAAACTTAGTATATTGCTATAAGATTAATTTGTAATCAATGGTTTCGTTACCTTTTGTGCCAACGGCTTAGATTTTGTTTTTCCTTTTTTACTTGTCAGTCGATAAGCACTATTTTTTACTTGACCAAATGCAGTAAGAAAATTATATAAATTATTTGTCAAATCGCCTCCAGCTAATTTAATTACGTCAATAAATTGATCTTGGATTTCGCCTGCTTCAGCAATTTTCTATTAATGTAAAAAAATAAAAATAAAAATAACTAAATAAACAAAATAGATAAAACAAGCAAATAAACACGAGGCGATTCATTTATAATGCTAACTTACATATCTGGTTAATGCCACCAGAACTTTATATGCTCTCTGTAAACATTTGAGCAAATTTTCCGAAGTAGTAGATTGGAGACACGTCTTCTCGAGGTGCAACAAAGAATTCATAAGTTTTATCAACCTCAAGCAAATTTCTTGTTCTACTTCTTCAAACTCTGGTGCTTCGTCAGAATCGGTACCTAATGAATAAAAAAATCATGGCAAAGCTATTGAACCAATTGTTAAAAATAACATTGAATTCAATTCAATAATTTGATAACTAAATGAACACACACCACTGGCACCACACAACGCTCTTAACTTAGTCAAATACCATTCCATTTCATCATAAATTGCATTCAAAAACTCTATCAAAATGCCACATACTGTTGCACTTGTTCGAGCATTAACAATCATATATTTATGCGATTGCGTTTCGTTTGATTCAGGTCGACCAGTAATAGGACCTAAAACAACAAACATATCGTGTGCCATTTCCACAACAGTATCAAAATCTGCCATATCGCGCTCTAACTTAAGTAAAAGATTGACGATAATTTTAGCAAGCCCCGTATCTTCAATGACGCGTTCTTTACAAAGAGTATTAAACCACTCAATTAATTGCTCAATGTGTCCCTGAGACTCAGAATCGGTATCTTTGCCCTTATTCACGTAATATGTTGACAATAGTGATATTGTTTTGCATGACCATGATGCCTCATTAATTTGTGGAGTGCGCTCGCTTAATGATGAAACTATAAGGCGCTAATATATATAGATAAGAATATTAATTAATAAAGACTAGGATGTCAATGTCGTGACTGAAGTTGGCATCTGCCTGAAGTTGGAACTTCAGTTGACACCTGCTAATGCGTGCAGGATGATCTAATTTCAGGAGCTAATTTCAGTCAGGTGCAACTTCAGGCAGCTGAAGTTCAAACTTTAGTCGGATGCCAACTTTAGTCACGACATCAATACATAGCTGAAGTTCCAACTTTAGTCGGATGCCAACTTTAGTCACGACATCAATACATAAATTTGGATGAGGCAATCTTACCTCAAATTCTTGAATATACAAATTAAGCCAACCATCCAAATTATCAGGACGTCTCTCATTCAATTCCTCTGATTGGTAAGACAACTCTAAAAAATCTTTTAGCTTATCCGGCCAACTTGTTGATACAGCTTGACTTAGAAGCATAAAGCTTTCTAAAGCAATAGAAAGACTCGACTTTCCCTATGATTATTGATATTGTAAGCCATATATATATATATATATATTAATATTGAAAGGTAAGCCTTAATCATATTACCTTATCTTTTCTTGAATCATCATTTGGAATAACACTTGAACATTTATCGTCTTTGATGAATCTATTCATGAAAACACGAGCCAAATATGTGCAATACTCAAATTTTGCATGATCACCCGAATCAAAAGATGAATGCTTGCAGGATACAATTGACATTAATTAACACTATTATTTCTTATATGATAATCTCATAATGAATCGAATAAATAAGAATACAATACTTGCGATATTGTGTTATACGCCACTGCAATTATATATTTCATAAATTCTGTGTCCGTCCTTAAAAGCGCTGTTGCGTGACTTAGATCATCGCTGAAAATGAATTTTATAAGTTCAGCAATGCACTTAAAGCTTAGTATTGTGCTTTCAGGCATTGTGGTTAATGTTTTGCGTCCTAAGATATGGATAAAAATGTAAATATCGTCCAAAAGCATAGTTGATTATAAACATTAAATGCCATTACCTCGAACATTAACAGATTTTTCCCTTAGGACTTCAAACAAAATCATATACTTTTTGAATAACGTCAAAATCTTTTGCGATGAATCAAGTGTATGTTCTTCAGAAAAAAAGATGTATTCAATTGCGGCCTATTATCATAATAATAAATATCAGAGAGGCTTCATACATATCAATAATTAACCCTATATGAATGAATAAACCAAAAACATACTTCATAACAACCAAGCAAAAGGTTCGCTGACAAATTGTTTCGCATTCCCTCGCTACTTGCCATTTTAAAGTCGGAAGCTGGATCAATCGAGAACTCTGTCATGTCGGCTTTAAGTAGCCTCTCAATCAAGAGTTGAATAAAGTCTTTACATTTCTGAAGTTGTCCTTTGTCATAAGCCGTGTCGTCTAAGGTCAAATTTATATTTAATTATTAAAGAGGATATCCTAAATCTACATATTAAAATTATTATTGATAGATATGTATACCTTTGCCACTTTCATTGTTTGGGTCGGAAGACGTAATCGACTTGCTTATACAAGAAAATAAATACGGAAGAGGTTCTATAATAAATGTAGAACCATCTACACAATTTAGACAAGAATCTAGAAGAATTGTCGCGTGAATTGAAGTTTCTAATTCAAAGTATTGTTGGAACTAGATGTGCATATGTAAAACTAATAATTAATTCGATAATTCTTAACATAAATAACAAATTTTTACTATTCTGAAATAACTTGCATGAGGAAATAAAATATCAAAAACAATAGGTTTCAAATTTTGCTCTGCATCCATCAAATCAATCAACCCTTGATATAATGATAGTCGTATCTGTGGCTGTTGACTGAAACATCTACGTAAGATTCCTGGGATAAAAATAACGAAATATAGTTACAACTTGTTATATCAAATTAATTTGTATAATTGCAAACTGTAAATATCAAACAGTTACTTAATATCTCAAAGAAGAGTGAATTTTGATCTTGTTTGCTCAAAGATTTTGAAGAGCCCGATGGCATTTGTGATGTTGCCTGTGAATCAGGATCTCTAATTGTGGTAATTCTCAACAATTGCAAATATCCAGCTAACGCATTTTTCCGTCCTTCCACATCCCTACGCGAATTTAAATGATTTTTAACACAATATACTAAAAGATAAGCTTGAACTACAAAATATTAATGTTGTTTATTACTTAGTGGACATTCCCTTCCGTAAAACCAACATAAGCCCATCACGAAACGATTTATTTACAAGTATAATGGGTTGTATTGCTTTGAGAAAGATATCAGCAATACTAGTAGGAAGAAATGTCAAATAATCTAGAGTTCCTTTTATCTGAAATTAAACATATTCTTGAGTTAATTTGAATTTACTAAATAACAAATAATTATAGGTTTTAAATACTTTTGAAAGATGATTGTATAGTGAATGTGGAGTTTCTTTTACAATTAGCTGAAGCAGATTCAGGAAGTACCCAGCACTCGGTGCCTTTGAAATGACTCGGGTAAGAATCTGTTCAAGTATTTCGACACGAACCATCTCGTGGATCTAAAGAAATATATGCGTCAGAAATAAAAACTCGCCAACCTATATGTTACTAAACAATAGTTTCGGCTACTACCTTAAACATTTCGAATAGAATAATCGTGCCTAAATCACCTGCCATTTCGTTAGAAGTTGTTGGTGGTCCACTTAATACCTTGAAAGTTTCTGAATAAAATAATTAATTTTTAGTAATTTCAATTAAGTTTGTATGGTTCTAATCCTAATGTTTAATTTCGAATATCTTTTCACACTTACCAACGCTTTTGCCAAATGGACTTGATGGAACCGCAGAATCTAATATAAATATTCCGAGATGTACTAAACTTTGCGTGACTTGATCCCATCCAAAAGATGTCTTTCGAATTATCTTGTGAAATATCTCTGCTATCGGCGCTGAGGCTATAACTTTAGAACTATCAACATCTTGGAATATTAAAGCAATGAATGTTAATAAATATGCTAAACTATACCAAGAAATAATTACTTCAACATACGAGATATCCATTTCGCCTTTTCAAGTTTTTCTTGATCTTTGAACGCAGACATTATAGAAGATTTAAGAAAGTCAAGGGTCTACGAGGTTCAGAGTGTATAAGTAAATGTTCATGTAACGTTTCTTTATGATTTTTCGTACCTGATCCTTAAATCTAAGTATCTTTGCTATCGATAATAAGCAGGATATATTAAATGGGGTGAATAACGCAGTTTTACTCATTTTCACATATTTCATGAATTCGTTTCCTAATTCCTATTGAATAAAGCAAAGTTTAAACTTTATATATAGTCATCAATATGTAAGTGTTATTGTATATCTGTACCTGATCTTGAGTGATAGCGAAACAAATGTGAATTATTACGGTCCCTTCTATATGGCTAAGCTGTGTAAATGACAGTGAATCACTAGAAACGACACGATCGTCTGAACTAAAATGATAATTCTCATTATAATTTGGAAAATTTCTGTAATAAAAAAAATGTAAGATAATACAAACTTTGATTCTTGATCATCTGTAACCTCTTCATCAAGGCTATTGAAGTATTCAGAAATACCTCGTAAAATAAGTCGCTTGTGGCCCTATTAAATATATTAACAAGGCATTTAAAGTTACTTTCTTATAAAATATTGAGAAGATAGAGATCAAAATACCTTTCGTGAAAGTAAAAGCATTTGATATATCAAGGGTGGTATTCCATTCATATCCATCGAGTCGAATTGCCTTTTAAATAATGTTAATATTTCTCGAATTTATTAATACGACATGAGCATACTACAAAAATATTAACAATTACCTCATAATTTTTTCCACAATAAATTGCAGCTATCATAATAATATAAGTTATTGGCAAAATAATAGTATACAAATCTAAAAATATACTATCATATCTATATACCTGATCATTTGTCATTACTATGTCTCTAAATTCTCCAATGAGACTTAAAACATTACTCGCATGCCATTTATAAGAACATATTTTATTTAATATATAATCTTTATAATCCGGGCCGGACATAGAAGTACCAGTAGATGACTTATCCGAAGGTAATTCAATCTCATCGGATATAATGTCGAAAGTAGACAAAAACATTGGTAAAAATGCAAACAATTTGCCATGTATTGGTTTAACTCGTTGCATTGTATGGATAATACACGTCGTGGCCTCTACAAATGCCTTTACTATGATTAATGAAATATTTGATCCCACCACTACCTTTAAATTTTAAATTAAATAGCATTTAGATAAGTATGTGAAAGTAATATATGTATATATTGATTTTTTTTCAGATTCTTACTTCATTAATACATAATTCGACTAGATCTGACATTATTTTATCAAATTGCGAGGAAGTATCGTTGCCTTTCTCGCTTAACCTTTAATAAAAGTCATGTGATTATTTATTTAATAAATATTTTATTTGACGATCAAATTTTACAGACCATTTGACAATTTCTAACATAACTGTGACACGTCTTCGAACTCTTAATTCTTGCTTTTCTGTGTCCTGTTTATCAGGTGCATCTATAGATCCTACACGAGAATATAATAATACATAAAAATATTTTTTCATCTTATTGACAATGGACAACTAATTATACCTTTAAACAGGGCACGTATCATTGCAAAGCATCCTTTGTTTTCGTCAAAGAATTTTACTTCATCCTTCAAATAAGATTTGACCAAATTTGCTATCTATAAATTGGATGTATTAATTATCGCGTGATAAAAAAAATCGCGTCTATTCGAAAAAAACGTGAACTAGAAATACCTGTTTGATTTCGACAGTATCAAGATAAGAAATAAGATTATCGATTTCATTTTTAAAACTTAGATTCAAGATTTTTTTATCCATCGCGACGAATCTTAAAATTTGACGCGTAAAATCCGAACAATTGATTTATCGTTGTTATTTGGAAGATAGTAGTGATCGGCTGGCCTTTAAAGGTAAGCCCTTGTAGATTCCGTGTAACCTGAACTTCCGGATCAATTAGACATTCGTATGATTGGCAGATGTAATCAATTGCCCGGCTAACTTATTTATACACTTTAACTACTTGTTTGAGAAAATAACGCTTTACTTCGTAATAAATGAACGTTAATATTCACTGTGCAACTTTACTTTGAAGACAAAATATACCACCGTCTATTGGACCGTACAAAACTATACTGTTCTGTAGAGTGAAAATATTTGCGCCTAAAACAACTTTGTAATAATTAAACTAATAAACGGAAGCCGTTATTAGCCCTGATGTCTAATTGCATATACCAAGAACTTTTTTATTAATGGATAGGATTTAGGCAAAAAGACTACCGGTAGTACAGTTATAAAAATTTACAAAATTATATATATAAATAATTTTTATATACAAAAATCTGATTAATACTATACAGTGTTGGCACTTGGTATATGTCCATATTTTTTAAAAAATTTGGACCATGTCCAAACCTATATGTCCATGTTCATAAATTACTATGTCCATATTTGTTCATATTATTTTTAATAAGTCCAAATGTCCATATTGCCCAGCACTGATACTATAGTATAGTTTGGCAGAATTTTTTTTAATATTAATAATAAACTTTTTAAAAAAAAAGAATTTTACTAAACTGGCTAATTAATTGTTTTAATTGTTGTAAGATGTTCTAAGTAAAAATGTTCTACACCTTCCAAAAACCTTTCCCAAACCCTAATCATAACTTTTTTTTTCTATTAAGGTGTCTTTCAGGACCAAGCTTTATTGATATTTGTTATTGATTACATGGGTTTACATTTTAGTATTTACATATCCACCAATTATTTTAAACTAGGTATCTTTATACCAAAGTGTTTTCTGCTATTCTTTTTATCTAAACTAGATTATTCTAGTTATCTATGAGTCTTCACAGATGGGCATAGCAGATGCCTTCTAATCTTTTTATATCTCACACATTTTTAGACTAGTTTTTCGAATACCTTTTGTAGCAGCTAAATCTACCACTAGCAGTTAAATATATCAAAAAAGAAATTTTGATTATCAAAGGATATAGAAGTATAAGTCTTCTGCTTTGCTCTAAACAATTAGGTTAATATATTATAAGTTATATAAGTTTAAAAATTTAAAAAATTAAACATAGTTTTTAATATAAAATTTATAAGTAAAATTTATTAGTAAAAAGACTAAAAATAGGCAGGCAATTTTCTAAGAACTCCAAAAAATTTAAAAACTATTTAAAGATATAATATTTGTTATACTGTTACAAAGTGGACTGTAG